AGGTTTCTGGAGGGGAGGAGGGTGGGGGGATGGGTTAGCCTGGGGATGGGTATTGAGGAGGGCACATTCTGCATGGAGCACTGGGTGTTATGAACAAACAATGAATCATGGAACAGTACACCAAAACAAATTATGTAATATATGGTGATTAACATAACAATAAAAAATTAAAAAAAAATAAATAAAAGTGTCTTCCAGTTTGTATCCATTATAATTTTTGAACAGAATGACTTTGGACATCACTGAAGATTGGCAGGCATTAATTCTAAATGTTTTTTTTTTAAAGATTCTATTTATTTATTTGTCAGTAAGAGAGAGAGTGAGCACAGGCAGGGGTAGCAGCAGGCAGAGGGAGAGGGAGAAGCAGGCTCCTTACTGAGCAGAGAGCCCGATGCGAGACTCGATCCCAGGACCCTGGGATCGTGACCCGAGCTGAAGGCAGACACGTAACCTACTGAGCCACCCAGGCATCCCCAATTCTAAACGTTTTAAGAGAGTCTATTCTAATACACCTATATAATTTCTTAATTTTAACACTTATCACCTTGTTCTTTCTGTTCTTTTCCTTTAAAACATTACCGAATGATACTTGCTGTTGGTAATAGTCAAAGTCCATTAAAAATCATATAATTCTAAAACTCATAGTGTTCATATATAAATAAATATTTTTATGCCTATGTATTCATAATAAAGTTTATGAACCTACTGCGAAAATCAGTCATAGTGAAGGGCTGACTAAAAAATAAAAGTGAATACAGGGATTAGGTCCACTCTGTAGAAAAATCATCGGATAGATCCATCACTGCACCCCACAGGAAACGACCTAAGTTTTGAATGCTGTATTTTTAGGGATTCATTGGCTGTATTCACTGATGAAGAACCGAGATAATTTTTATGCATTTGTTTAATCCATTTCATTAACTCACCAAATAATGTGTTTCAAATTTTTTAAAAAGCTTTGGCTGAAAAGCTAGCTTTTCAGGGGCTAGCTAGCTTTTCAGGAAAGCTAGCTAGCTTTCAGGGGCTATCATCCCTAAATATACCACGGTCCGCATTGCTCCTTTAATTATGTTGTAACGTGTCGCCTCTGTTTTGTCTTGACATTTTCCAGTTTCCTAGTCGATGAATCTGAAACATTTGCTCCTGTTTTCCAATCCTGTTTCCTGTGGTTTCAAAGTGAAATACTCTATAAGACTTGATGCAAAGAACTGAGAAAATATAAATAGACCAAACAACAACTTTCATGTTGAGTGTGAACTTTTCTACTAATTTTAGGGCTTTGGGGGAAGGTTAGTTTTCTCAAGCTCTGAAATGTTTATAGCTGAGACTACTTGCATCCAGTGAGAGCTGACCTAAAAACTAGCATCAAATATTCTATAGCCATGAAGATGAACACGAGTTCCCAGCCCTGAAATTCTGAAATTGTGCAGTTATTGGATATTCTGCACATAATCCCATGCCTCCACAACCTTGGTGTAAATGTGCATAGTATTCCTTGAAGAAGAACATTAGCCAGCTCTACTGTGGCTGGTAAATTAACTGATTTACAAGACACATCTTCCGGAAGAGTCATAGAAGTTTATTGTGAATTGAGTGACTATAAGATGATATGGACAACTGGATAAAGCAAACACACTTTAAAAATGATTGATTAGATCAATATCCAATTGATATATTGTGTATCCTAATGGAAATTCTATGTCATAAGACAATTAATATTGCTTATTATGTAATGCGAGTTTCGATGCTGGGAGCAGAATTATCCACATTTGTCAATTTTGCTATGCTTCTCTAAACTTTTTTAAGGGGAGAAGCAGGGGATAAGTTTTACTTTGGTTGAATCAATTAACTTTTCTGGTACGTTTTAGTCTTTCAGTGGTATTTGGAGTTGAGGCCCTAGATTTTTTTTTTTAAGATTTTATTTATTTGAGAGAGAGAGAATGAGAGAGAGAGCACATGAGAGGGGGAGGGTCAGAGGGAGAAGCAGACTCCCCACCGAGCAGGGAGCCCGTTGCGGGACTCGATCCCGGGACTCCAGGATCATGACCTGAGTCAAAGGCAGTCGCTTAACCAACTGAGCCACCCAGGCGCCCCCTTGAGGCCCTAGATTTTTTCTTTTAAATGTGACATAGAAAAAATATTACCCTGAAAATATAATTTGATGACTTTTAGTTGACTTACTATAGAGTTATAGACACACAGACACCTTAAGCATTAGTTTTTGTTCATCTTGTTTTCTTTAGGGTCAAAGGAACCGATGTTGATTCAGGGAGTTAATCACTTGATCTAAGCCACACCGTTACAGATGGAGCCCCACATCTAACTTGGATCTCACAATTCCCAATTTGTTCTTCTGTGTCTTTCTCTTCTTCTCCCATTTTTTCATTCACATATTTTTTCAATAAATATTTGTTGAACTCTTAAGATTTATTTATTTTAGAGAGAGAGAGAGAGAGAGAGAGTATGCAGTGGGTAGGAGCAAAGGGGGAGGGAGAGAGAGGATCTTAAGCAGACTCCCCACTGAGCATGGGGGCCATCGAGGAGGCTTGATCTCATGACCCTGAGATCACAACCTGAGCCAAAACCAAGAGTTGGATGCTTAACTGACTGCACCAGCTAGGTGCCCCATGAGCTCTTGAATTGTTCTAGGCATTGCGTGTTGACCTGAGTGGATGAACCAGAGAAAATTCCCTGCCCTCATGAGTTTATAGTCTAGCTTAATGCTATTCTTTTCACATCACAGGCTTTTTATTTATGAAGGATACTAAAAAGATAAGTAACTTAAATTTAAATTTTTGGAGAGAAGTATGGTAAGAATTTTAATTTCAGCAGTTAGGTAAAATAAAATACATAACAGACATTTGAATGCCTACATATTTGAAAATGGTCTATATTGGGGGGCACCTGGGTGGCTCAGCCGTTAAGCATCTGCCTTCAGCTCAGGTCGGATCCCAGGGTCCTGGGATCGAGCCCCACATTGGGCTCCCTGCTCAGCGGGAAGCCTGCTTCTCCCTCTCCCTCTCCCACTCCCCCTGCTTGTGTTCCCTCTCTTGCTGTGTCTCTCTCTGTCAAATAAATAAAATCTAAAAAAATTAAATAAATAAACAAAAAATAATAAAAATGGTCTATATTGGGAAGGGGAAATTCATTTATATGTGGAGTATCTTTCATGTATTGATGCATTCATCAATCAATGAATATTTGTCTATTATTCTGTAGCTCTATATACATATTTTTTATAATATAATAATTTTTACAAGTATTCCTCAGTTTATTTTTAATTGAAATATAATTAACATATCATGTTATACTAGTTTCAAGTGTCCAATATAGTAAGTCCATATTTCTATATGTTACTCAGTGCTCATTCAATGAATATTCTTATCATTAAATTTGGTACTTCTGATAATGCAGTTAGAATGAATACTGACAATTGGAATTACTTGTTTAAAATTTAGAGAATACCACTTACAGATTTCTGAAATACGTATAGTCAGTGGAGGTCTCTAATTAACCTTCCTTGGATGAATGCATGGCTATCAGACAGTTAGTTGAATCTTGGTCAGTGTCACTAACTAAAAGAAAATTTTGGAGTGTCCAGAAACAAGTAAGATTACTCAAGATAAATTAAATATCCATTATGGTTATTTTATGCTGATCGGATGATTACATGGTAGTTTTAACCACTTTCTCAATAATACGCATGTTTTCTCTTTCCACCCCAGAGAGGCTTGTGGTTCTCTAAGGCTTTCCAAACTGCCTATGTGGGCAAGAGTCTGTAATGTCACTCTCTCAACCTCAGTCTCTCTGCCTCTCTCTCTCTCATTTCTCTGGTTACATGTTATCTTTTCTCTCTGCTCCTCTAGCCTGGCCTGAAGTGTTATAAGATGCCTTTCTTCCTCCTGTTTTCTTGTTAGTTCTCACTTCAGTCTTCATGATGAGAGCAGATACTTACTCACCTCTGTGGTTAGCATGTCAAAAGCATAAGTCTTTGGCATAGTGCCTTCCGGAAGATCTTTCCTGCCTGGATAGATTCCTTGTTTTTTCCATTCCCAAACTTTCCCTTTCCTGCAGAGGAACGGAGAGCGCAGTTGAGGAGACTTCAGAAGCCAGGGGCTCTCATGGAACTGCCTCTGCAGAAAGTTCTTTTGGCACTTTACCTCTGGGTGTTCCTTATTCCCCACCTTGTTTGGGCAACTAAGTACTCTTGATTTGGGGTGGTGAACTGTGGAGTTCAGGTCACCAGTGGATGGTGCTCCGAAGTGAAGAGTTGATTCCTGGGTGATTTGCAGAATTTTAAAAAGATATCCACATTTTACTACAGTATAGCACTCTTTATGGAACTGTTGATAGCATAACAAACCTGAGTCTCCATGTGTTCCCCTACTCAGCAACTGAAGCTTTGTAGTTGTGATGGGGAGCACCCCCTCCTCCCTGGGCTGGGCCCTGAGGCATAGAGTTTGGCTCAGGGGAGAGGGAAAGGCATCCTTGAGGAATAAGTCATGGCCAGTCTTCATCTGCCTGGAGCACAAGACTTAGTTGCTGAATAATGCATATTTAATATATGTCGAATCAGTTCCAGATTTATAAAGGCTGTAACAGTAGATCCTTGTCTATTGCAGTCTACTGTCATCTCTACAGAAGGAGCAGAAGAAAGAATGAAACTAAAAAGTCACCTTTGCTCCTTCTAGTCAGAATGGGAAAAGTTATGATGGCAGGAGATAATGAAACTATTTGTTAAAACGAGATTTTTGGCTTCTCTGTTGGATTTCATTTATTCATAACACTCTGGATTTCCACCGAGAACTGAATTCAGGGTGATGTTACTTTACAGATTATATGAAAGTGTTATGCATTGTTCTATGTATTTGGATGGGGTTATCCACTCAGGCTCTAAATTATGCTAGTAGATCAATACCATATATGAATCTGAATAAAAATAGTGATTTGGATGAGAACTAGTGTAGATAGTTGAATCCATATCTTATACTATTTTCCAGGGAAAGGTGATGTATTCGGAGACATCTTCTGGAAGGAAACCACCCTGGCTCATGCGTGTGCCAATGTCCGAGCACTGACATACTGTGACCTCCACATCATCAAGCGAGAAGCCTTGCTCAAAGTTCTGGACTTTTATACAGCTTTTGCAAACTCATTCTCAAGGAATCTCACTCTTACTTGCAATCTGAGGAAACGGGTATGTCATGTGGATCCACTTGCCCTTATTAGAATCGATGGGGTTAATATGTCATGCTCTATTAGCTGAGAAGTGCAAGAGGTATTTCATTTTGCACTCGTACATTCTCATCGATGTAAAGTGACATAATTTTCTTTCCCTTTCTTTATATTTTGTTTACTTTTTAAGGGGTAGGGGATTCCTGAGTATATGGTTAAAGACTTGAATCTTTATAATTTAAGTGTAAAATGAAAAACAGAGTTGAAGAGAAACAAACAAACTGTACTATAACCTAATTAGTTCTTAAGGTTTATAATAACTGCCATAAAAATAACATGAGTGTCTCTTAGTTTATTATGTGGTTTTTTTTTTTTTTAGGTCGGTAAGGTTAATCAAGCTGGTTGCTTATTTTATATTCCTGACTCTATTATAAACACCCTTTCTCATTTAATGATCAGTTCATAAAGCTTATTCCCTGTGAATTCTTTCAAAGAACACTATCTTAAAAAAATAATTAGCCACACTGACATATCCTACAAATAGGTATAGCAGCTCTTAACTTTGCACTGCTGCTGCAACTATAATATTCATGGCCATTTTCTTTTTTATTGATGAGTGTGACACAAATTTAATTTGCCTAAAGAAATCTCCTAGCTATGATTTATAGGTCTTTGGACATAGGCTAGGGCTCTTTTATTGCCAAGAATGAAATACACACTTGGACAACTGCACTTAAGGAATTTCATCTAAAATGATTGCCCATCTATGGTGCAGTATTTTGAAATAACAAGCCTTCCCTCCCACTGTCCCCTTAAATAGGACCTTCTCTTTAGTTAACAGGGAGGAGAAGAATCAAGCCAAGAGACAAATCAGCATCTCTGCTGTAGCAACATAGAAATGAACATAAGCAAATCATTATAATTCTCTACGGGGGGTCCTGGGAGAGGACAGGACTTCTGGAGTCCTATTCGTACTAGCTGTGTCACAGTGTTGGATCTATATTTGTATAGCATTTTCGGTTTCTATTTTTGTTATAATAAATGGGTTTTGAGGATCCACAACCTGCTAGACAATATGTAAAGAGTTGTTGCAAGCACAGAGACAAAATAGAGTCCCTGTGCTTAAGGTGTGAGTCCCTGTGCTTAAGCCAAGTGTGAATATTCTATGAAACACAAATAAGTGAAACACGTATTTGTACTAGTAATTGAAAGTTAAGGTAGTGGTGGACGTGGAAGGGGGCTGCCGATAGGAACTAACTGTGGAACTTTCTTGCTTATTCGTTAGGGAGTGTGGAGTCTCGTTTAAGTAAAAATATGTCTCCTTTGGTCTGTACTCTACCTTCCCCAGTGACAAATTCCTCTTCTACAAGGCAGCCCGTTAGATATTTGAAACTCATATCTTATCAAGTCTTCTCCAATATAAATTTTGCCAGCTTTGGCGTCTTCCCACATACCACAAGATTACCGAAACCCCTATCCATCATCGTTATGGTCCTCAGGACAGATCTTATTTGTCGCTGTCTTCCTTGAAGCATGTTTACACAGTACCTCATCTGATGTTTATAATATTCCTGTGTAAAAAAAAGGACAGTTATTTTCCTTTCAAAACATATGAGGAAGCTCAGGCCCAGGGGATTAATATCAAATAACCAACTGATATATTTGCAGTGCAAGGTCTCAAAGAGGGATAATTAAGATAACTCACCAGTAGAAAATAAATATTGGTTCTTCAGAATGAGTTCATCACAAAGCTCTCTCGCTTCTTTATTTTCTCTTTTGCACATCTGAGCATATGCACACCACACACACACACACACACACACACATTGTAATGAATGGAGAGTGCACATACCTCTGATAGGAAGAGAAGCTAGAGACAGAAAACTCTGTGTGTGTGTTTTAAAGATTTTATTTATTTATTTAGAGAGAGAAAGAGAGTGGGCAGGGGGCAGAGGGAAAGTGAGAGACCATCTCCAGCAGACTCTCTGCTGAGCGTGGAGCCTGACGCAGGGCTCGATCCCACAACCCTGAGACCATGACCTCAGCCGAAACCAAGAGTTGGACGTTCAACCGACTGCACCAGCCCAGTGCCCCTGTGTGGATGGTGTTCCTGCCTCTGCAGGTGCTGGTGCACAAGTTACATCAAATGGCTTCTTCCCTTTATAACCTGCTCCCTGTCACAACCTGTGTCATGTTTTTATTTTTTAATAATTCCAGCCCTTCTTCAATTGATGGATGGTCTCAATAACTTGGCGAAATGTGGGGAGAGGTGTACTGTCAGTCAGTGTCACTTCATTCTCAGGAGAAAAAAAAGTATTCTCATAAAAAAAAAAAAAACACTGAGAAAATATCCTCCAATGACTCGTGAGAATAACTACCATTTTGAGAGCCTGTTTTATAGCCATGCACCTCAACATATTTTATATATAATAATTGACCTTATAAAATTTCAGTAACCCACAGATGAGGTACCTCACTTCCATTTCATCGATGAGGAGGCTGAGGTTCTGAGAATGGGACAGCTGGCTGCCAAAGAAATTACGGCTCAGTGTCTGGATTTGAATCCATCTCTGTCTGATTCTAAAACACAGATCTTTGATGCTACCATGTTGTTTTGGCTTGCCAAAATACTTGGTATTTTTTTTCCACAACAATATTCCACAGACACACTGTCAACCATTTATAGTTTCTCATGTGCTCAGTCACTTTCACTTCGTTCCCCATGGAGCTATTAATACAAGGGTATTTTGTTCTTATGGCTATTACTGCAAGCATTCTTGCATTGAGTATTTTTTATGAATTGGATATTTGTTGTGAGTTGTATAATCAAAACCATGTCCTTAGTATGCTCTTGATATCATAGCTATCAGAACCACTAATTAAGGATGTGTTTCTAGTAAGCTGGGGGAGTAGATTTGGAACCCGGATTTTCAGCTGTCACAGATTAAAGCTCTGGCCACATGAGCGGGTGTGGTGGCTGGGTGGAGAGCTTTGCATGGTGTGGGATTCTTGGTGGTTGCAGTAGTGGGGGATGTGGCAGCACTTTAGCTGCCTGTCTCCCCTGCCCCCCGTCTCCATTATGGAAGAATAAGAGATTTCTTATGCCAACATAGTTCCCACTAACCATCCTTAAGTTCCTCTCTATAAAAATTCTAGAACTAGAACTATAATTTCATCCAATAACTAGAGCAGGGGTTGGCAAACTTTCTCTGTCAAGGACCATCAAGGACCATTCAGTAGATATTTTAGGATTTGAGGGCCACAGAGCCTCTGTCTCAACTACTCAAGCTTGCCATGGTGTGAAAGCTGCTGTCTTAGCTCAGGGTGCCCTCACAAAATACTAGACTTAAACAACAGGAATTTATTCCCCACAGTTCTGGAGGCTGAGAAGTTCAAGATCAAGGTGCTGGGCCCAATCGGGTACCAGCGAGAGCTCTTTTCTTTCTGGCTTGCAGACCTCTGCCTTCTCCCTGTGTCCTCACATGGCTGTGAGGGAGGGAGAGAGAAAGGGAAGGGACAGAGAGTTAGGGTTGGGGTTAGGGTTAGGAGACAGAAAGGGACAGAGAGAAGAAGGGGGAAGGAGGGAGAGAGGGAGAAGAAGATCTCTCGAGTACCTCTTCTTATTAGGGCAGTAATCTCATCATGAGGACCTCACCCTCACGGCCTCATCTAAACCTAATTGGCTCCCCAAAACCTTTTCTTCAAATATCATCACACTGGGAGATTAGGGCTTCAAGATATAAATTTGGGGGGAATAAAATTCAGTTCATCACAGCAGCCAAAGATAGTGTATAAATAATTGAGCATAGTTGTGCTTTACTAAAACTACAGAAACTGGTGGCTCTCACGGGCCTTAGGGTGTCCATTGCTGAAAGGAGAAGACTGGAAGTTAGCTAGGGAGGACAATGAGTATGCACACAGAATCCTCTCCTCTTGTATTAGAAAGCAAATCTACCACTTGCCACTCAGAGGTTTTCATGAGATGGAAAATGCCACACAGCAGAGGTGGCTGCAGAAGCCAGGTCAGTAACACCCACGAGGGAGGCCAGACTCACATGGCCGTTGAAAACTAGAGTTCACACCATCTGTAGAAGGGCTGGCTGCTACTCGGTCTGGTTGCACCCTGCCTTTGTGGAATGCCAGCCCAGTGTTGCTTGGTCTGCCTATTTTTTTTCCTCAGAGAAGACAGAAGTATGAATTTTTATGCAAAATCACATTGGTTTGGTAACTAACTTGCTTTGTGTTTTTTGTTTGTTTGTTTTTCTTTTTTATAAGAATATGGTCAAACAAAGCAAGTCAGCTTGCTCTTGGTCCAAATGTTTGTGAACTAAATGGAATGAGTTCATGAACTCTTGATCTCATGATAGTAGAAGCCTGAAATTTTTACCTGAAGCCTGTGAATTTGGATAAGAAAAATTATTACATCTTTATTTTCTTTAATTTCTAAGTGAAATGTAGCTTTTCCTTCAATTATGAAGGTTGGTGACAAACTACAGTATTAGTTGAAGTACCAAAAGAAATCATAGAAATGTTCATATTATATTGTATTTGTTGAAGTGTTTAGGCTCATCACTACTTAATAATTATCATAGTTATTACAGACGTGATCCTAAGATAAGGCTATTGTGTTAAAAAAAAAGTACATAGATTACTATTTTGTGAAATTTTTTTTAAGATTTTTTAAAAAAATTTTAGAAAGAGAGCACATGAGAGCATGAGCACAGGGTGAAGGAGACTCCCTGCTGAGCAGGGAGCCTGGGGTGGGGCTCCATCCCAGGACCCTGGGATCATGACCTGAGCCGGAGGCAGATGCTTAACTGACTTAACCAGGCACCCCACTATTTTGTGAATTATTTTTTAATATTTTGGTAACTGAATTTCAATATAATGTTTTTCATTTGCAATACTATGTATTTTATTTTGTGCATTTAAAACAACTTTTCTGAATTGAGGCCTGTTCCACAGGCTTTACTGGACCGCTAGAGATTAATACCCCCTGTAGTACAGTCAGAAACTGGACTC